AGAATAGACTCCACTTTTTGATGGCTTGTGCATACATGGGGGGAAGGAATTGATGATGGTTGTCTGCAAGGCCTTACTGAAAAGGTGAATACAAAGTGAGACTGGTCAGCATGGTTGTATCTTTCTCCAGTTATATTAAATTGTGTAGTATAGGCAAAGACTACCTGGGGAATTGGATTTAAACAATTAGGGTCGTAAGATGAGTGTGTCAGAGCAAGAGAGGAGTTGAAGTGGTATGCAAGACAGATTTTAATGATTGAGGATTGAGCATAGAAGTGAAGCTACCTAAGCAGGATGGAGAAGACGTTAAGCTTGTAAGAGACTGAAGAAATGGCAGATCCCCAAAACTGTTAGTATTAATAAGAGATTAACAAAGTTGCAGGACACAAGATCAATAAAAATCAATAGTAGGCTTATAGATTGCCAATTAATCAAAACTGAAAATCAGTTCAATTTAAAATAGCATCAAAAAGAATAAAATACTTAGGTATAAGTTTAAAAAAAGAAGCATTATACTTAAGACACTGACCACTGTAAACCATTGTTGAAAGAAATTAGAGATCTACATGTGGAGGCACCTATGGTCATGGATCGGAAGACTTAATATTGGTAAGATGACAATACTCCCCAAATTGACCTACAGATTCTGCACAATCTCTGTTTAAGTCCCAGCTGGCTTCTTTGCAGGAATTGACACACTGATCCTGAAATTCGTAAGGAAATCCAGGAAACCCAGAATATTCAAAATAAGCTTGAAAAAGAATGAAGTTTAAAGATTCATACCTTCTGATTTCAAAATTTATTAAAAAGCAACAGTAATCAAGACTGTGGAATTGGCATGAAGATAGACATTAGATCAGTAAAATAGAATTGACAGTCCAGGAAATCCTCCAATTTATAATCATTTGCTCTGATAAGAGTGGCAAGACAATTCAATGTCGAAAGGATAGTCTTTTTGACAAATGGTGCTGAGACAGTTGGATACCACATGCAAAGAATGAAGTTGAACCACTGTCTCCCACCATACACAAAAATTAAATCAAGATGAATCATAGACCTAAATGTAAGAGTTAAAACTATGAAACTCAGAAGAAAACATGAGTTTTGGTTGGGCAGTGATTTCTTAGATATGCACCAAAAGCTAAAGTGACAAAAGAAAAATTCAAAATTTGGACTACATCAGTTAAAAGTCTTAGACTACTTCAAAGGATACTATCAAGAAAGTGAAAATACAACCCAGAAGGTGGGAGGAAGTATTTGCAAATTCTATATCTGATAAGGAACTTGCATCTACAATACATAAAGAACTCTTATAGCTCACTAATAAAAAAACATAACTCAATTAAAAATGAGCAGAGGAGGGGTGCCTGGGTGGCTCAGTCAGTTAAGTGTCCAGTTCTTGGGTTTCGGCTCACATTCCGATCTCAGGGTTGTAGGATTGAGCCCCGAGTTGGGCTCCACACTCAGTGCAGGGTCTGCTTGAGATTCTCTCTCCCTCACTTTCTCCTTCCCGCTCAGCCCCTCTCCCTGCTTGTTTGTGCTCTCTCTTTCTCTCTCTAATAAATAAAATCTTAAAAATGAGCAAAGGATTTGAATAGACTTTTCTCCAAAGAAGATATGTAAATGGACAGTAAGCATATGTGAAGATGGTCAACACCATTAGTCATCAGGGAAGGACATGTCATAATTACAAGATACCACTTCACATTCACTCGGATGGATATAATAAAAAAGACAGATAATAAGTGTTGAGAAGGATTTGGACCTTTATATTGCTGGTGGGAATGTAAAGTGGTACAGCTGCTTTGGAAAGCAGTTTAGCCCTTCCTCAAAATGTTAAAAATCTAGGTATCATATGACTCAGTAATTCCAATTCTAGGTATATCCAAGAGAAATTAAAACATATCCACATAAAAACTGCACAAATATTCATAGCAGTATTATTTTTTTAAGTATTTAAATTCCAGTTAGTTAACATACAGTATAATATTAGTTTCAGGTGTACAATATAGTGGTTGAACACTTCCCCATTCAGCACTCGGTGCTCATAACAAGTGCACTCCTTAATCCCCACCACCTATTTAACTCCTCCCCTCACCCACCACCCCTCTGGTAACCATCAGTTTGTTCTCTATACTTAAGAGTCTGTTTCTTGGTTTGCCTCTTTTTTTTTCCCCCTTTGCGCATTTGTTTTGATTCTTAAATTCCACATATGTGTGACCCCATGGTATTTGTCTGACTTATTTCACTTAGCATAATATTCTTCTAGCTCCATTCATGTCATTGCAAATGGCAAGATTCCATTCCTTTTTATGGCTGAGTACTATTCCATCATACACACACACACACACACACACACACACCCATCTCTTCTTATCCATTCATCAGTCAGTAGACACTTGGGCTGCTTCTGAGTAGCAGCATTATTTTTAAAGCCAAAATGTAGAAACAACCCAAATGCCCATCAGCTGATGAATAGATAAATAAAATGTGATATGTCCAACAATGGAATTTTTTTTAGTATAGTTGACACACAGTGTTCCATTAGTTTCAGGTATATAGCATAGTAATTCAACTTCTCTATACCTTATGGTATCCTCACCACAAGTGTGGTTACCATGTGTGACCATACAATGGTATTATAGTTCATTGACTATAATCCCTATACTGTGCCTTTTATTCCCATGACTTACTCATTTCCATAACTGGAGGCTTGTGTTTCCCCCTCCCCTTCACCCATTTAGCCCATCCTCCAACCCCCTCCCCTCTGGCAACCATCAGTTCAAACAATGGAATGGTTTTTTGTCTATAAAAAATGAGGTACCAATATAAACTCCCAATAGGGATGATCCTTAAGGACATTATGCTAAGTGAAAGAAGACAGTTATAAAGACCACATGTTAAATGATTCTATTCAGATGAAATGTCCAGAATGGGAAAAATCTGAAGAGACATAAAGTAGATTAGTAGTTACTTAGGGCTGGGGGTGGGGTTAAGGGGTATAGAGTGGAATTTCTTTTGGTAGAGATTGAAATATTCTAAAATTAGGTCGTGGTGGTTGTACAACCCTGTGAATTTATTAAAAAAAATGAGTCATATACTTTTAAGTGGGTGAATTGTATGGTATGTGAATTATATTTCAGTAAAATTGTTCAAAAAAGAAAGTGATAGGTTCATGTGTTAGAGATTCCCAGTAGAACAAAGGATTGTTGGAGTTGGAAGATTCATTTTTGTACATATTGAAATTACTGCTGAATATGATAGAAATACTATTGGAAAAGTGACAGCAAGCCTAAAACTAACATCTTCAAAAAATAAGGGAAAATAACCTGAGGGAGAGTAGATTATTGCAACCAGAAGGGGTATGTGGTAGTATAGTTTGATGACATAAGATGTAAAGCTGAGTGCTTTTATGATGGAGAGGGAGTATGTTTTGGAAGAGGAAATGAGGAACATCAAGAACACCTACTTCCATGTTGGAATCCTGAGATACAAGAGGTGTGGAAGAGAAATCACTTGAGAGGAAGTAGGGTCGTCAGGGGATAGTGTATGTTATTAATAGATTTTTATATTAATCATAAAACAATTTTGAAATATATAGGTAACTTTCTTAAAACCTTCAGTTTCCTACATGGGCTTTTTGTTCTGTTACTTTTTTTAATGCTAATTATATGTATCTTGAAGCTTGAGTCTGTTTTATGAATTACTTAATCAAATTGGTGTTTTCACCGATTTGGCTGTTTGACATTGTTAATGTCCAAGGCTGCGTAATTGGTCTGTTCTGATTTATTCATTGTTTTATGATAGAATAGGGGATGTGGATACTTGCCAAGTTGTATTTCTAACTTACAGGAAGTTTGTCACCTCACTAGGCTGATGTCTCTCCAGAAGTCAGAGGGAGTTGATAAGTGGTAATGATTGCTAGTATTCACAGTATGAATATAGGAAGAATGTGCTCTTTTTCTGTAGGTATTTATCCTTCTAAGTCTTCCAATAAGCACAGACAGTCTCTTTTATGACTGTTCCAGTCAATACCTTGTGAAGAATACTTTAGTTCACTTGAGAAGGTTTCTCAATACAGAAATGTAATTGATTTTGGTAATATGAAATATCCTGGTCATCTTTGAAAAATCAGTCCCTAAAAATAGGACAAAATTTCTTTTTAGCAAGATAATTGGTATGTTGTTAATTATTCATAAAGGTCTTAAAATTTTTGGAGAATCTGATACATAGATCAGTGAATCTAGAGATGTAAAATAATAGGCTTAAATAAAAATCATTCAATAAATAACTCCATGTCTGAACCACTCAATTTTGGCTGCCCCAAAATAAGATTTGTGAAAACTGTAGATTCCACGTGTGCCACTGTTGTAAAGTTATTTAATCCCTTGCTAATATTGTCCATGAAGTTGATTTGGTCGTCAAACTATGTGATTTGAATGGTGACAGTCTTGGATTTTAAAAAGTCATGCATAAAAATACAAAGGCAATACATTTATTACCATCTATTATGGTTCAAGCAGAACTAATACTAAAAATGATCAGACTGGTATGATCATGACATTGACCATTCAGAAAAGATGCTGCTCATTGGATCATATTAGTACTTACAAACAGCCCTGGATCTAGACATTACTTTTGGTGTTTTGTTACCAAATTTAATTTTAATTATAAGTCTTCACAGTAGATCTTATTTTCTCCACTTTTCAAATGAAAACCCTAAGATGTAAAGAGGTAAATAACTTAGGCAAGATCACATAGCAAATTGTTTGAATTAGGATTTGAACATAGTTTTTTCTGGCTCTAAAGTCTGTCATTTTTACTGTTTTACTGCCTTGCTAAACTTAAAACCCACTCTCTACTCTGTCAGGGACTGAGTTCACAGTAGTTTATCACTTGTTTGGAAGAATAGATATTCTGCCAGTTTTAGAATTTTCTGCAAAATAAGCATTGTTTCTATCAATACTTTCTAAACATTTTTCTTTCTTGTTATATATTAGGACGTCTTGCGTGGCTGGTATACTTAGTTGGGACAGTTGTTGGAGGAAGGTTAACATATACCAGTACAGATGAACATGATGCTATGGATGGAGAATTATCCTGCCGGTAAGTAATGGCCATAAAATTTACAGAAATTTACGAAGTAGTTAAGAAATTTAGTTATTGAACTGGTATTAAGAGTTAAAACATTTTGTACCTGGCCTTTTGAGGAAGGTATTATTTTCTTTTTATTGGTGAGAAAACCGGGGCATAGAGGTTAACTAATTTGTAGAAGTCAAATCTCTAGTAAGTATTATAGTCAAATATATTTTAAACTTGTATTCAAATAGTGTGATGAAGATTTAGGTTGCTTTTTATTTCTTAGGACCTGATAAAGCAGGCAAAATTGCTGTGTATTGGGTGGTGGCAAAATTGGGGTGAAGTATATCTGGTCAAAAAGCAATGGATAGTCAATTACCCAATACAAGCTTTGTTTATGATTGTTGACTAGATTTTTCACCTCATGACCTTAGTCTTAATCAGAAGCAATGAATTACTTACCTTAACACTGAGGAAAATTCCTACATGTGAATAATACACGTGAGTTGGTTTTCTATATATTTTAATTTATTTTTTTATAACATTTTTCTTTATAACTAAGTAATATATGTTTTTATTAAACACTTAACTATTTCAAATAAAAAGAAAAGTCATATATTAATTTGGAGATAACTATTTCTGTCATTTTGCTAAATACCTTTGAGTCTTTTTAATTAATGCTTGAGGGTATATGTACATTATATGTGTCTTTTTCAACATTTTTTTAAAATAATTTTTTATTGTTATGTTAATCACCATACATTATATCATTAGTTTTTGATGTAGTGTTCCATGATTCATTGTTTGTGCATAACACCCAGTGCTCCACGCAGAATGTGCCCTCTTTAATACCCATCACCAGGCTAACCCATCCCCCCACCCCCCTCCCCTCTAGAACCCTCAGTTTGTTTTTCAGAGTCCATCGTCTCTAATGGTTTGTCTTTTTTCAACATTTTTTGAACAAAAATTATATTATACTATAATACTGTTTTGTAAACTAAAATGGAGATAATAATACCTAATTCATTTTGGGCTATTATAAGGATTAAATGAGTTAATATTTTTAAGATTCTTAGGACAATGCCTGGCAAATAGTAAGCACTGTATTACCAAACACCACTCTCCCACCAACCCCCCGCCGTAAACACTTCTTTTTTTTTTTTTAAATCAAGCATAATACTATGAACATTTTACTTAGACATTAAATATTCTAAGCTGTATCATAATTTTTTTTTAATTTTTTTTTAAAGATTTTATTTATTTTTTTGAGAGAGAGATAGCGAGAGAGAGCACAGGGAAGGAGAGGGAGAAGCAGGCTCACCGGTGAGCAGGAAACCCGATGTGGGGCTCGATCCAGGACCCTGGGATCATGTTCTGAGCCGAAGGCCGACGCTTAACTGACCGAGCCACCCAGGCACCCCAGCTGTACCATAATTTAAACATACCCCAGTTTTTGGAATTTTAGGTTGTTTCTCAATTTTTCTATATTGTAAACTGCTTTGAGTTGAATGTTCTTTTATTTTTATTTTTTATTTTTTCTTAAAGATTTTATTTATTTATTTGACAGAGAGAGTGAGAGAGCACAAGCAGGGGGAACAGTAGAGGGAGAGGGAGAAGCAGGCTCCCCGCCAAGCAGGGAGCCTGATGCAAGGCTCGATCCCAGGACCCTGAGATCATGACCTGAGCCGAAGGCAGACGCTTAACCATCTGAGCCACCCAGGTGCCCCAGAGATGAATGTTCTTTTAGTTATATCTTTTTGTAGGTCAAAATAATTTCATTAGAGTTAATTCCTAAAGGCTGAATAGCTGGTTGAATGGTCTGCAGCATTTTAAAGAGTCACCAAATGACCTTTTGGAAGAATTGTACCAGTTTATTCTCTGAACTCAAAGGCTCTGAGACTTAACCATTTTTTCTGCAGTTGAACACTAGATAATAGGATCCTTATCTTTGCCAGTTTATAGATAACAAATGTCTTGTCTTGATTTCTATTGCTTTGGTTACAAGTGGTGTCAAATATTTTTTCCATTTCAATTTTTCCCAATTGTATTTTCTCTTTGTGGTTTTTAAATATATATAGATTGTATTATTTAGCTGCTTTTCTTTTGTGATTATCTTTCTTAATTTATCTATAAGAACTCAGGGTATATCAAAATCTTAATATTTAGTATTCATTTTGAAAATGTTTTCTCCATGTTTTTAATTTGTTTTAGAAATTTTTCTTTTAATGGATTTCAATATTTATATATTGAGATCTGTGAATTTTTCCCTTCATATTTTCCCCTTTGTTCATGCTTACTTAGAAAGGTTGTTCCACATCTAGATAATAAAAATATTTACCTAGATTTTCTCCTAGTTCTTTTATGGTTTCATGGTTTTTATGGTTTTTATATTTACTTTATAATACATTTGATGTTTGTTTTATATACTTTTTCCAAAGTTTCCATTGTGTTAACCAGTTAATGCAAACCCCACCCTTTACTGACTTGAAATGCTGCTTATATCTTTACACAAAATTCTTAGGTCTTTTTCTGAGCCTTTCATTCTTTTCCACTGTTAGAAGTCTGTTTTCCTCTATCTAGAATAGAAATATAAGGGAAGTAGTACACTGCTTCTTATTAAGGCTGTGGTCATGAAGTAAAAAATCTAGTCAACGATCATAAACAAAGCTTGTATTGGGTAACTGACTGTCCATTGCTTTTTGACCAGGTATATGTCACCTCAATTTTGCCACCACCCAATGAATACCACTATCACCCTACCACAGTCCTTAAAATTATTAGACCCAGTTGTGGCATTTTCCTTCTTTACTATTCTTAAATACATCCCTGAGTATTTAATAAATTTGTTGCCATTCTGAATAGAAATTTTCTCTTCATTTCATACTCTTTTTAGCCTTTAAACTAGCCCTTGTTTTAGTGAAGCTTGAGTCTGAATGGAACATAAATATTTTTAGATTTCCTTAGATTTATTTCTAGTATCAAATAACTTTATGAATGGGGGCATTCTTAAATGCTTTCGTTATTTTTAAACAGTAAATAATTTACCTCTGTGCCATCTTTTAATGTAACATTACATAATTTAGTAAAGTGAAAAGTAAGTATACTTGCTGTAGTTAGTTTGATTTTTGAAAGTTTTCATCATCAAGTAGAGGAATACCCACTGGCATTATTTTCCTGAGAAATATATAACAGGAAATAAACAAAAGCAGGTGTCTCTTTGCTAAGGAAATAAACAAAAGCAGGTGTATTTTTGCCAAGTACAAAATTTTAATTTTTTCTTTAAGCAACAAACATATTTAACTTTAAATAAGATTTGATTTGTGTTTTAGCCATTCCCTAGAAAACAAAGTGTTAGGTGAAGTTTATGGTCTAAGGCTTTATTGAGGGGTGGGGAGAACCGTGCCATTTTCAAGGAAGAAAAAATGAAGGAAAAGGAAGAGTGAGAGAATAAGAGAAAACAGAGTCGGTGCTCCTAATTCACAGATCTCATTTTTGCAGATTTGTGTACTTGCTAAAATTTATTTGTAATCCCAAAGCCAATACTCATGGTGCTACTGCAGTCATTTTTGGATATGTGCTTGGTGGTGAAAAATTTGAGTTGCCTGATACCCACTTTCCCAGCTGAGGTTGAACAGATACTCTGCCTTCTTGTTTCTTACTCTCATGCTGTAAATAAGTGTCCTTTTCATTGTGTGTTTAGTGCCATATATCTCACATTTTTGTGCTTTTTGTTAGTGGTTTTGCTGTTTTACAGTGGCCCCTGATATAGTGCTGTAGTGCTTTCTAGTGTTCCTAAGCACAACAACAAAGCTGTAAAGTACCTTACAGAGAGAATGTATATATTAGGTAAGCCTCATTTAGGCACAACTTGTTGTGCTATTGGCCATGAGTCAATGTTAATGAATCAACAGTATATTAAATAAGATGTCTTTATTTTATTATTTATTTATTTATTTTAGGATTTTATTTATTTATTTGACAGAGAGAGAGATCACAAGTAGGCAGACAGGCAGGCAGAGGGAGAGGGAGAAGCAGGCTGCAGGGCTTGATCCCAGGACACTGGGATCATGACCCGAGCTGAAGGCAGACGCTCAACCAACTGAGCCACTCAGGCACCCCTAAATAAGATGTCTTTAAAGAGAAACACAGATAAAACAAAGTTATGTGTTGATTGGTTGATGAAAATATTGTGACCAGAGTTCCTCAGGAACCTAACCCTGTGTCTCCTCTGGGAACGCAGTGGTTCAATATTCACTCATTCACTTTTCACAATGCCTTTTTAGAACATAACTACCATGAATACTGAGAATCACATCTATAAGGTGGTATATCGCACACCTGGTTGCTCCCTGTTACAGCAGTTTTCCCCAGAGGCCACATGGAACCACTGTGTTTGAAAACATTCCATGATGATGTGGGAAGATGGGGGACTATGGGCAAGCCATTTTTCTATTTCCTTAACTTCTCTGTCCCATTTCTTTTTTTTTCATTAAATTTTTTTAATTTATCAATTTTATACATGTAGATCTAATTCATTCATTTTAATAGTCATACAATATCAATTGAATGAATATGGCACAGTTTATTTCCCTATTGATAGACATTTGTATTGTTTCTTTTTTTATTATTATTATGTAATGTTAATCACCATACATTACATCATTAGTTTTTGATGTAGTGTTCCATGATTCATTGTTTGCGTATAACACCCAGTGCTCCATTCAGTACGTGCCCTCTTTAATACCCATCACCAGGCTAACCCATCCCCCCATCCCCCTCCCCTCTAGAACCCTCAGTATGTTTCTCAGAGTCCATAGTCTCTCATGATTCATCTCCCCCTCCGATTTCCCCCCTTCATTCTTCCCTTCCTGCTTTTTTTTTTTTTTAAACATATAATGTATTATTTGTTTCAGAGGTACAGGTCTGTGATTCATCAGTCTTACACAATTCACAGCGCTCACCATAGCACATACCCTCCCCAATGTCTATCACCTAGCCACCCCATGCCTCCCATCCCCCACCACTCC